CTTTGAACGAAATTATAAGCAAGCGGAAGATCGTACTGCTGACGGAAAATGCAACCTATGGACACTAAATGCCCGCATAGTTTAATAGGCATTAAAACAGTAGCAATTCATTGCACCAGTACTCGATTTTACTTCCCTACCATAGCGCTCAAGCTGCTGAAAATCGCGCATCCTCGCTTCTACGATCGACAAGCAAGAAAGCACCGCCCTCAGAGCGAGATCAGCTTCTGCCTCTGTGGCACAACTACGTGACCTTGGCCTGCTGTATTGCGCCCTCCTCCACGGGAGTCTGTGTGGTGGACAGAAACCCACCCACCTACGACTCTGAATCTGCTTTCACTGTTATTCGGCGGAGAAATATTTTGAGACACATCTCAACTCCTTCCACCGGGTAAGCTTTTGCATTTTTGTTGTAGTTTGAAAGATCAACATACGTCTGCGTGCCGTGGTGGTTCTGTTCCCGCTCTACAGGCTCACCGATCATTCCTATGACCAATCCAAGCCCTCGAGACATCTTGCCTAGGCACACTTGGTTAAGTATTCGAAGGCCCTCTAATGCCGCGTGATATCTCCTGACTCATAGAGGTACCGCCTATTCCAAATTTATCTTGACAGCATACCTATCTTTAATCAGTTAGACCAATTGTCTCACTTTATTTCCCTTCGGCTTTCCGATTCAGTGTCTGAATGGTCGTGATGGCTCTAACACGATTATTTGTTCAGAGTAGTAAGGTCGTCATTTTCAAGATCGCAAATTATAAAATTTACACTTGCTTATCTCCCTTAAATTCCTGAATTTGGGCCAATACTTCTGTTTATTCAGCAAATAAATCCCCGTTTTTTGTTAGTTTTACAAAAAACACCTGTATATACCCCATCAATGCATGCGCTATCGGAATTTCTGAGGTAAATCTGATCACTAAAGCGCAAATTTTTTGCTTCTCTTATACATAATACCAGCTGTCACGATATTTTTTGTCAACTCAATAACTGCTCCAGAACCGAGTGTCGTCAGTCTTGTCATTCTGAAATAAATCTACCCGCAGCACAACATGGTCCCAACACTTGTGACACCGGGTATCCTACACATGTGAGCATAAATAAGAAAAAAAAATCAAAGCTAGCCCTGGCTGTCTGAAAAAAATGCGCTGTTTTTGTTACGACCTTGTGTCATGAGTGGTGGGCATGGCCTCCGTCGCGCTCCCAGCCAGAGTAACCAATGGACAAAGACTTCGACAGCTGTCTTTGTTTGGCGACGCGTTGGTTAAGCAAGGGAATACGGCGTGTGCGTACGCAACAGCCGACTGGTCAGGGACACACCTAGTGGTTTTTCAGTCTCGCGAATCTATAGCATTTGCTTGGCCATGGTTTGCCTTATAGTAAACGCTGGTGCGTTTAAATTACATCCGTGCTAGGTATCGACCACTTGGGAGGGAATGAGCAAGGACACGGCATTTTAGAATGCTCGAGAATTACCCGTGAAAGTGGCAACCTCTAGAAACCCAAAACAGGGCATTTTTTGGAGTTGCAGACAGTATTTGTGTAACTCATTTGAGGCTTGTCCACGTTCCAATAATAGAAACCAGATTCTTAAAATTTCTCAAAGGATGTTCAGGTTTCGGCGATTTTACTGTGGCTGTTAGGAATGTTAGGAATGAGTCTTCACTCCTCCGTCGTTTGATTAGGGGCGCAGCTAATAATCACCAATAGAACCGGGAGGTAAGTAACTCACTGCGTTTTTGCTCACGGGAGTTTAAACTCTCGCGTATTTTTACCCCCCTAAGTGACTTTGACATTAAGGAGGATATTTCTATAAAAGGGCATCTATAGGTGATCAGAATCAGTTCAACATCATGAACTACGAATTTCTCCAGAATGTTTGGCAATAAGAGCAAAGGAAGTTTTTAATAGTAATTTCTGGAATGTTGGCATGATAATTCTTCTGGAGTTGTGAACACCTTTGGCACCTTCCACCCACTGATAACTAAATCTCGTTTCTCCTCTGTCGGCGCATCTACCTTTACTTCAGAGTTGTGAGTCATAAACCAGCCAGGTAGGCCAATGAGGCACACGACGTGCTCCAACTGGATAACTACTTCTTACCCCTGCATCATTTTCGACGCAGCCTCAAGTTGAGTGAATCATTGGGCATCCACGACGGGGTAAAACAAAGAATGTGTGATTGATAAATTGTATTCTTTGAAAAGTTCAATTCTGAAACCGTTAGTTGTGTGCGATAGAACTAAAATCATTCCCTTCTATGAAGCCTCAGCACCACTGCCTTAGTACCACGGAATGATTAAAAGGCGGTTTTACTTTGTCCCGTGATTGACCTCGAGTCGGATCTTAGTGGACACATAGGTACTAAAGTTGGGAATTTCGGGATTATGCTAACCCTAACTTTCAAAATGCAAATAAAGAAATTTAACAGAGATAATGGAAGACTGCCTTTTCTAGTTTCCACTTTATATGCCTCAGATCATTGTAGGAAATATTTTTACTGTTTAGTCTTGGTTTTTATAGAATTCATTTCAGTTTTTACCTATTTATAGTGCTGCAACCCACCATTAAGCTAGGAAATCCCGCGAGCGCTTTTCGCTACTCGATTTTTTAATCGTAACAATCAAGATCGATGTTTGACGTGTCTACAATTTATCTTGACCTTCCGTTATGACTAGGTCATCTAGAAGCATTCGTTCCCTACTATTGCTTCTAGTTTTGAAAATTTTGCGACGCAGTAAATTTGGTCTGATGGTGACGGCCTGCGTCTATTTACGTCTAAAGGTCAACTACATAAAATAACGCTGTACATTAGGAAATTCCGTTGGCTTTATGAGATTGAAGGAAACAGAGACTATGGGGTTCATGGGAGTGTTAAATCCTGGCTCTTAAAGTGTTTAACAAGTAGTTCTTACTAACTCTTATTCGTCTGCAATAACACAATGCTTAGCCTTGATAAGCGTGCCATGTCATAACTTAGGGAGTCGTTTGATGTGCTTAAGCTTTCGTTTGATTATTCTTGATGACGTGGCAATCTCGTCTGCCACTTTTTAACAATCTAACGCACCCATATTGTGGACATATTATTTGAAATGAAATTAGTGAGTCCCGGTAAGACTACTGTTAAATAGGCAGATCTTCAACAGTAGGACAATGACTGGATCCTTGTTTCATTGTAGAACAATTCGTCCTCAAGACTCAATGTTTTATAAAACAGCAGACTTATGAGCATTCTTTATGAAGTGTACTCTGAAATATAGATTTTGAATTCTCTTTCCTTAGAACAGCTAACCTTGTATATATATTAATCCGATCGTGTGTGAACTCCAGATCCTTTTGATTTTTGGAGCAAATTTTGGACTTCGTGGGATGCGTTTTTCGTAGAAATGCCGCAATGATTCATAATTTTGGCGATTCTATTATATCGCAAATAAGATAACAGTTAAATGGGATGTGAATGGTATAGCCACTCACCTGCATGTACTACTTACGACTATGTTTGGGTTTGTGGTAGTAACAGGCTCTTTGGATTTCATTTATATATTTCATTGGCTTTCACTTCATTGCAGAAAATTCCGTCTTCTGGAAACTAGTTGAAGGTATATCCAAAGATATGCTTTGCTCGATTTCTTGCCCCAAAAAGTGTTTCCATCTTCAAAATGGTGAACTTTCATATAGATATGTAGATTATTGAGGAAGTATATCCTGTGGTATAGATCCCGGGGAAACAAAAACTAGCACTCCGGCTAAGGTAGGACACAAAAATGTAGTCTTCGTACTCGGAAATGCATTTATTTGGGTAAATAATCAAAAACAAGAATCTTAGGGGCTAACGTTTCACGAAATGTTATATGCAGCTCCGCCAATATCGCTCTTCTGCCAAGCTGCGAATCCACTGCCCCGATCACGGGATCAGGTGAGCTCGAATTGAACTCTGGGATGAACCCGCGCCAGCAACAGCATCTCGTGAACAGCAAACTCTTCATATCGGCAAAAGAGAAGGCGCGCGATTTGGTGAAAATAATTATCCCCTTGCTGCGCTGCGAGCACCCTGAGCTGCGTGAGTCGGTCATCTGTGGACTGAGTCGCATACAACCTGCTGCCTTTAGAGATGTGCTGGAGGATTTGCATCCGATTCTGCGTGAATCGATTGATTTGAAGCAGAAGAATGTGCAACGTCGACGACGGAGGGATGTGCTGAGGTCGTCACTTATTCGATTGCTGGCTTTGATGGCGCAGAATGCAGTGTTTCAATATGAGTAAGCTGATTTGCTTCGATTAAAACATACTTATGAGTTCTGGGAAGCCCTTTTAAGATTAGAAATATGCAAGAGACTCAACTTTGTTAATTTAATTTCCACTTATTCCATCCGTTTATTTATGTCCTGCTCAGATATGTAGTTACAAAATCCGCAGTTTCTTTGACGCTTGATTTATTTCAGCCGCCAGTTTGACAGATCTTGTGATTCGCAAGAAAATGGCGAGCAAACACTGATTTTAGTAAGCTCCTGTCGCTTGCGTATAATTTCGTTCAAAA